GGGGGGGGGGGGATGGGTGGAAAGGCAGACAGAGAATTAAAATGATAGGGCGAACAGAGAGATAAAGAAATTTAAGGGTTGCTCCGAGGACTTTGAGTCCGACAACCCCTACCATACAGTAATGGCACCTATGTGAATATAAGGGCTGCAGACAAAATAAAATCCTTGCGCGTCAAATTAAAAAAAAAAAAATTACATCTTCAATCATTTCGAATTTCCCAAAAATATTACCTGATATCCCAAGAGCAGCACAGATAAAGATGGAAAAGTAAAAAAAAAAAAAATTCAAAATATATAAATTCCGTGAAAAAATAAAATTTTTTATCCTCTATATGCACGTACACTCATACGAGAATATCCCTATGCGACACGGTACAGTGTAGTGGGAACAATTCGAATTCATATATCAAGAGACTCGAAAAGGACGTAAGTCCCATTCTTGGAATGGGTATGGCCCCAAGTTAGTCTGTCGTAAATATCCTGGGACAGGTGAGATTCTAGGAAAGCTTTGCGATCCTTTGTCGGGAGTGCAGTGTCCTGCTCGGAAGTCGTCCAGTAGGATGACCACGGGATAGGATGCGCATTAAATTTCAAGGATTCGCGCTCGAGGATCGCGGATCTTCGAGATAAGGTGAGGCCCCGGGATAAAGAGCCGGGGGACTCCTATTTGTCAGCCATCCAGCTGCGAAGGTTTCCCAGGCCAATTCTGGGCCCGCGCCTACGCGGTCCTTACCACTGGCTTTCGCCCACCGTTGGGTCCTACACAATTCCGAGTTTTTTATTTTTTTTTTTTACTTTATTTTTTCATCTTTTCAAATATCTCTTTGTCTCTTACTAAACGTCATCTTGTCTGGGAATTTAGTTCGCCTCGATACGTACTTTGCTAACTGTGTCCCTGGTATGGTAATAAAGTTGGAAAAAATTTTTGATAATGGTAAAAAAATATTTTTTTTTTTTTTTTCTGATAACGATAACGAAGTTTTGACTCTGGGAAATTTGATGTTTTCAATTAAATCATCCCTTCTAGAGGCGAGTGGTATAATAATACCCCCCCCCCGCACGCTGTACAACCCACGATTCTCACGAAAAACTTCACTACGATTATATATACAATATATATATATATATAGGTGCGTGTGTCTTATTGAATTTCAAGTAAACTTTTTTTTCCTTTTTATAACATCTATTCTTACAAAAAGTGGTAGCACACGGTATATACGTTTCAATCATTTCTCAACCCCAATTCGAAGTCCCCCCTATACTGGATCGGATCAGACTAGCAAATTCGCCTAGCAACTGTCCATTCGAGAACCGATAAATTCGCAAATGAAACCGGAGAGTCTCGGAGGATTTGAAAGGAGTCCACACGGGTCAAGGATGGTACTGTAAGATATCAGAGGTCAATAGTGGGGGCCGCGCAAGTGAAAAAATTGTTAAAAAATAAAATTGCATACAAAAAAAAAGTTTAAAGTGAAAAAAGTAGTAGAAAAAAAAATAGGGGTAGTTCGTATCGGCATTTGCATAGGTTCAAGAGGATGAACATAGAGAGCGCCAAGCAATAGTAGAAAAATAAAGTTTTGGTCAGCCACTGGGAGTAATTGGCATTGGCCACTCCTCCCACTCCACACCTGACAATAGATTCTCTTTGTTGGCCACCATTGTGCCCTACTAATTGGCATCTCGTGCACAATGCCACTTCAGCCCCAGTGCGATTAGGGTTGCCAATTTATTGTTCGTGACGGTTGGCCATTATATTTAAAATATGTTACCAGGATCACCAATGCTCCGGTACTCGGCCGAAAGACTCAAAAAAAAGCTTTCAAATTACATTTCAACATTCTTTTTCTTTTTCAAACAGTTGGTCACCCTACCCCAGCATGGTCGTCGGTATTTCAATACCTAGCAATGCACTAAGATTAATTTTCAACGTGACTGTACCCAAGTATCCACCATACTTGAAATTCCACTCGTAAGAGATCAACGCACAGGAAATGAATCACAAAGGCCATAGTACAATTATTCAATTCCCTTTAACGAGTTAACCGATGCACGTGGTCAATACCAAAAACGATAATTAATTTTTCAAACAACGTCACAGTAGTACCAAAACAAAATTACCCATAGAGCCGCGCAACAATAATAAATTAAAATCGCACGATAGCACAATTATAAAATTAATGGTATTCTGATAGAAAAAAAATTTTGAGTTATACCCCCCCCCACACCCTCCGTCGCCACCCAAAAACGAAAAACAGGGTAATTGCAGAAAGTGGATTAAAGTGATAAAATAATTAGCTACCAGGTACCCGAGTCCGACGCTAAGTCAGGTAATTAGCGCGAAATAGCTCGTATCGTTGAGTTACGCTTCGCGAGGCTAATTGAATTAGAGAAATTTCATTGGCACCGCTTTCCAAAGTGACAACGGGGCTGCGACCCGTAAATACGTCCAGTGACAAAAAAATTCAAGGACACACCGCGATTGACTTATGAGTACCGTGAAATAGCCTGCAGAGATATATACCGGGTGTACGGAGATGATCGGGGCTCCTTTTGATTCTCAATATAAATGTAAATTAACGCAGTTCATTAGTCGGCATTCACGTTCAGAGCTTGAAAGGTTAGGTGGGTAAGTATGTGGAAGGTAGTCGTATAAGAAGATAGGTACGTGAAGGATAGACAGGTATATATATATATGTACAGTGGTTATTCACGGCAGACGCAACCACCTGAAGTTAGCCTGTTCATATGATTTCTGTAATATAGCCACCTTCGGAGGGTGCGTTTGTTATGAAGAAACCCTATATATATATATAGGGTAAGAAAGCAGGTAGGAAGGTACATGGGTAGGCAGGCAGGTATGCATATATATATATAATTGAATGTAACCCAGGTATAAAGACGCTTCGCCCTGATCCCTTTTACCTGCCAGAACAAGAGACCAACAGGCCTGCCAACCTCAACGCTTTATTCGTAATTCGCAAAACACCACGAATCATAATGTCGATCTAGAATGTTCGCCTCGCGACGACAACTCATGAGCCACATTCGGGCAACTGTCGGCCGTTACTAGACGTATTTACCTACCAGAAGAGACCAACTTTCGATTACTATAATGGACAGGGATTTCGATGTCAGGATTATATTCCTACGAAGTCAATAGAACTAAAGGAGCAGTGGCGTCACCTGTCTATTGGCATCGTTAACGGATCAGACAGAGCAAAGGTAAATGCACAAGTAGCCATATGAAGACTTGATATAGTGTATGTAGGATTGTTATTATTATGATAGAATTACTATAGACACTACAGTTACCTGGGTAGATAGATATGTGGACAGATAATAATATATATATATAATATATGCTTAAGAATAATGTGAATTTTGAATAATTAGCAGAGTTATATCAATTTGCGAATTTTTCCAAAATATTCCTATCGCACTCTAAAGGGCGGATTATCTTGACTATCTTAAGTAAGATGACGAGACCAGGATTACCTATTATTGCTGTGTAATATTGCTTCCCACCCATGCTGAGTATAAACAGAGGTCAGATGAGATCAGACGATAACTGGAATAATCGTGTAACAACAGAGTCGACTGACCGTGGTTAAGTTTGCTGAGAAGAAGAGGTCGAGTGATCACAGCCAATTGCCGAGAGATCTATAGATCGATAGATCATGGCAGAAAAGTAGCGAAGAAATCTTTCGCAAGGTATCGGGAAAGCCTGAGAAAAATTCTTCACGGTGTTTATGGGGGGGAAAAGTGATTTTGTATGTTTCTACGATCGACAGGGGGACAAGGCATGGCTGGTGGCGTTAATCGAACAAAAAGATTAACAATTGAATCTATAGACGTGGAAGGCCGCGATTGCGTAATAGCACGCTATAGTGATTTGCGGCGATTGCGATTGGAAAACCTTCGATTAGCAGAGAGAGAGAGAAAAAAAATGTTTACAGTGACAGAAAGTCATGTGGAAAAAATATAATATGGGGGATGTGTTTCTTTAAATTTGCTTATATTTGCTGTGAACTGTACCTTTATTGTAGGCTTTACAGTGGTTCGTGCAAGTGACGTAGATAATTTTAGGTACAGTCCGGTATGACTTGAAGTACCATACGCTTAGTCGACAAATTGATGATCCATAAAAAATATATATATTTAAAAAATTTGTTTTTCTTTTTCGATCAAAAATATTTTCAAAAATGTCCCAAAAGGTCATTCTCTCGCGCGACACTGAAAACAAATAGGTAATTTTTTGAGTCAAGATTTACAGGCTTATAAAAGTAATCCAAGAGACGTTTATATTTTCTCAATAAAGAAAATTGATCATCGACGATCGATCGAATTTTGCGAATTAAAATATCGAAGGTTAAAAGCACTTTTGCACGATCAATAAAAGATATCCAGTGATTCATGTGCTCCTTCGATTAATGACAATCATTTTCATGTACCCGGTACCTCACCATATTTTACACATGTATATCCTAAAATCAATAGACAGTAATTAAAAAAAAAAAAAAAAGAAGAAAAATTCACATTCGATCGATAAAAAAATTTGACATAAATTTGCAAAAAAATTTTTTTGCAAATACACGTATCATGTATCAATCGGTATCGTATGTACGTTTTCAGTATTACACCATATACCCGCAATCATTCCCCCTAGTTTATCCTGTACAATAGAATACACTCGGGTCAGGTTAGGTTAGCCAACGTAAAGATTCGTAACCGGAACCGTAAGACCCGCAGCTGGTTCGCTATCAGGCTAATAACGGCATTGTCATTTTTCTCCGCTTATACCGTGTGTCCGCGTTGCTACGCGGTACTGAATCGGCCATTGGCCATTTCCGCATACGTGCACGCGTGTATCGTTAATACGTCTGACTACTTTCACGCGATCACTACTTGACTCACGGATAAAATTTTTCAAAATGGCCGCCGTGCACTTTCCGCGAATTACTTTCTCGGCACTGAGTATACCCCATTTTCATTAATCCTTGCAGACTGATACATTGATAAGGGACACGTGTGTTATGCCCATTCGCTGCTTCCCCGATTGGCTCGTACGGGCTGACCTGACCTAACTTAAGATAGTCACGTATTGGGAGATTTTTTTTTTTTTTTTTTTTTTAAATTTATTATGTATGACGTGGCCGTTTTTTTTTTATACTAGTACCCCGTTATACACTGCATTATTGCACTGCGTGTTTCTTGCGGTAGGTTACGGTAGATAACCAGTACGTTAACCAGCTAGGTTGGTGCACGGTCGATGGACGTCTTATGCAGTGATAAGGTTTTTTATTTTTTGGATTTTTTTTTTTCGTATTGACTTTCTTTTTATTCTAGAGGCCTATGGCATTATTGTGTACCGTCTTGGCTTTTGGAGAGCTCATGGGGTTGGATTGGTTTGGCAATGCGATATCTGGGGGTAATTTATTTTTTTGGGAATTTCCAATGGATTTTGAATTTTTTTTTTTTTAGTCCATTCTTACAATTGCAGTTTTATGAGCTTATATTGGCGCACTCTGCTGCTTTTGATTGTTTGGAGTGAGATGCACTTTTTTTTTATGCGATTTATATCACTTTCGACATGGTCGATTTCTTGGTTGAATTTTTTTTGATATACTTTCTTGAGTGGATATGCTTTTGGTGGATAATGAAATTATCACGTGTATTACTTTTTTGTATTTTCAAACACACCTCACGTACTCGACACTAGACGTTTTATTGATGTCTGTTAATAACGCGTTGTAAAACGCCATAGGATTATTTAACGAAGGAACGTTACGCGTACGTTGCGAAAAGGGATTTTCACTGTGGTCGCAGGACTTCGGCGTAACAGATAAAACGTGACGTCGAGATCTCGAAAGTTACAAACTCTGAGTGCAGAGCGAAACAGAGAAGCAGGAAATTCGTAGTAGCCGAAAAGGTATCTGAAAAATTGGCGTAACCAAAGGGGAAAAAAAAAAAAAAAAATTATCAAAACAAAAGAATACACCGAAACTACGAAAAGTCACGACAGAAGATACCGCGTAGACAGTCCAACGGCGATGGACTTAAAAAGCAGAATCGTGAATAAAAAATATTTCGAAAAACTTTAAACAAAAAATATACCAAAATATTGCAAATTCTCAAAAATCCATCTAAAATATCTCATCCGACACGAACCGACGTAGTAAAAAAAGAAATCGATCAACCCCATGAAAAAATCTCCCTACGCCCGTCCCAAGATAACCAAAGGATCGAGAATTTCCAAAAAAAAAAAAATCCTTGAAAAATCCTACACGCGCTTAGTTTCCCTCAGGAAAAAAAAAAGAAAAAAAAATCTTAAAAGACCAAACTCCCCGAACACAGTTTACGTATTTTAAGAACACACATGACTCGTACGTTGCTCACGCGATTCGCAGCGGAGCGAAACTGGAAGCTGGGTATAGAAAAAAGGTCTGCAGAGACAGTCACAAGAGAACCCCGGAAAATTCGTAATTATTTAATCGAATCCACAGACCGAAGTACGAATAAAAAATTATTCTTCTAAAACGCGATAAAAGCTCCGCGGGAATCCCGTACGCGTTATCCGTCGCGTATCTCCGTACGTACGTTTATCGAATCCCAGGAGACGTCTACGCTGGACCACCCGGAGCCCGCGATTCTGCGATTCTGCGATTCCACTTCTCTCTATCCGTGATGAACTCGTGGGGGTGGTTCGCTCAGGGGTGGGATCAATATGAGGTTGGGTGAACGCGGGAAATTCGCGCGCAGGTCCCACATCATCCCCTCGCCTACAACCCACCGAAGCACCGACTACCCTCTTTCTCACTGAGGGCACCCCCCGAGAGTCCATCTCTCTCCCTCGGCCCTGCACGCGACTGTATATGCATCCCTTAACAGCATACACACCCAGGGAAGGTCCCTCTTGGTACCGTAGCCATCCTGGTTCCTCGTCATCCCCTACGCCTTTCGGGATCCAAGTACAGGCTCTACCCGACCCCCCCGCGACTCTTGGGATCCACAGCATCCACACCCTTAGCTACAGGTATACCCAAAGCTACAGACAAGTCCACCCTCTTTCGCTACCTACCCCGAAGCCAGGATCCTACTAGAACGACGCCGTGATGAACCCGTTTTCCACTTTTCATCCCCTAGGAGCACGCGGCAGCCCCTAAGGGATGATTCCGTGTGGTACGATGCTCTTAAAAAATTCGAGATCCTCGAGTGTCCTGGAGGAAAAAAAAATGGACTAACGACGTTAATATTTTTTTTTTTTTTTTTTTTGGTTCGAGTCTCCGCTAAGGGACGCAAATCTGACTTGCGCAAGGGTTGAACAGAATTACCTCTTGGTACAGAGGGGCGACGCCTATAGGGATCTTCGAATGGATTACGATAATGGACCATGTGGAACTTAATTATTTTTCATTAATAATTATCATTACTCGCCCTTAAGAAGGGGCAAGTTTTTCCAGGGTAGTTTTACCACGGGGTAACAGGGGGGTTCGAGCCACTAGGGGTCGCAGGTCGTGATAATCAATTTATTTTATAGGGAATCCCCGGTACCTCCTTAGGCAACGCCATCTCTTATCTGCCCCCCGAAGTAATCTTAAATTCACCCCCAAAAACAATGTAATACCAATGTGCTAAGGGTGGTTTAAGACTTTTGCCTGGATTTCTTTATTTCCACCGTCAAAGTTAATCCACGACTAGCTAGCCGTTCAGCCGTCGTTGGATTTGTGGGAATAAGGGATGATAGGAGCTCGGTCTTCTGATCGCTGATAATTGTGCATACCGGGGGGGCGCTGGACCGTCCCGTTCGTAGGGTGAACCGCAAAGAGACCCCGACGCCATTCTTGAGCCTGGTTTAACGTCCCGACGCCCGACGACGCGTCAGGATTGACTTGGAAAATCCACCCATCTGACTTATCCACCCTTATTTTTTTTTTTTTTTTTTTTTTTTTTTTTT